TTTGCAACCAGTGCAATTTTGTGAGGATAAGAGTGATGTGTGTTCTCTTCGGCTTGTTAAAGACCACTCTAGCTGCAGAATTTTCGATCAGTTGCAGAGGTTTTATAGTGCAAGCTGGAAGACCTGCCAGGAGAGCATTACAATAGTCCAGTCTGGATAGAGCAAGTGCTTGGACAAGGAGTTGTGTAGCATGCTCTGATAGGAAAGACCTGATCCCCCTGATGTTGTATAAGGCAAATCTGCAGGACCGGGCAGTTCTAGCAATGTGGTCTGTAATGTTCAATTGATCATCAATCACAACTCCAAGGTTCCTGGCTGACCTTGATGGAGTTATGGATGACGAACCTAGCTGAATGGAGAAGTTGTGGTGTAGTGTTGGGTTGGACGGGACCATAAGCAACTCTGTCTTCGCAAGGTTTAGTTGAAGGTGGTGGTCCTTCATCCAGCCAGAAATGTCTGTCAGGCAGGCTGAGATTCGAGCAGCTACCATCGGATCCTCCAGGTGGAATGAGAGGTAGAGTTGTGTGTCATCAGCGTAACAGTGATAGGAAAAGCCATGTTTCTGAATCACAGATCCTAGTGATGTCATCTAGATGGAGAAGAGAACTGGTCCAAGCACTGAGCCCTGAGGCACCCCAGTAGCTAGATGTTGGGTCTTAGACACCTCACCCCTCAACGACACCCTGAACGACCTACCTGAGAGGTAAGACTTGAACCATTGGAGTGCACTCCCCGAGATGCCCTTTGTCTTTAGGATTGACAGGAGGATTTGGTGGTGTCAAAGCCAGCTGACAGATCCAGCAGGATGAGAACTGAGGATTTGGAAGCTGCTCTTGCCAGTTTCAGAGCTTCAATTACTGAGAGCAGGGCAGTCTCAGTTGAGTGTCCGCTTTTGAAACGAGACTGGTTGTTGTGCAGGAGGTTGAGCAATAAATGGTATTATAGACAGAAAATTAATGTTTTTCTGTTTGTCTCTTTGTCATTAAAAATCATCCCCTTGTTTTTGTAGTCATTTGTAAAACTATTGAACCATATAATGCCCCTGAAGTCTTAAAGTCGGAAACGGAAGTTGCGATAGTCTTTTCTTCCCTATTGAGATTAAGACGGACTGTATCCAAGTGAAACGGCTTCTCGAACAAGAAAACTGTAGGGCGGGACTTGATCTTGTCCATTAAGAATTGGTTAGATGGTTGTGGTTTGCTATTGCTGATGTCATGTGAAGTGACAGGTTGATCCCGTCCTCGTGCCAGTAAACACATCATCAGAGAAGAGAAGAGATGTCGCTGCAAGAGGTAGTTATTTTGATAAAGAGTGCCCATTAATGCTTGATGCCAGCCGAACTTAGCCCCGCCCACAACATTAGAGGATGGGAAGTTCGGTCTGGACTTGATCCGTTGTGAAGCAAGCATGCCCGAACCAAAGCTGTTCGGACCAATCAAATTGTCAGGGCGGGGTTTATACGATGATGGACATTTGATCAACCGTAACGTAATCATCCACGTCACCAAAGAGCGCTTGGGTTGAATTCGTTTACAACAAAGAATGGCTGCCGCTGGAGAATTTAGATAATTCAGCCATCGCATTTGTTATAGAAAATGTAGACAGCGCATTCATTTTTTAAAAGAGGAACAGAGAACCGCGATCAAGGCATTTGTCGATCCAATTGAGTTCTTTCCTGGTTCGGTTGAAACACGCCCCATAATCACAGCCCAATATCAGACTCACATTCTGACTAGAATCTGAGTATGACGACGTCAGGCTAAATAAATAGTGCAGTATTCCATAAAATTTTCCATTTTGATTTCATGGTGACTTTAATGCACTGTCCAATGAAGTCCTGCATATAAATAATTAGCCTGTTCAATGTTAATTAGCCCTTACAAATTAATACTATAGTAATGGTGGGGTGTCATCAGATGGTAATCAAGGATTACTAGCCATATATATATATATATATATATATATATACTTTAGTTATATTTATTTTAATTATATACAAAAAGAAGAAGAAGAAGAAAGAAACGCTCTAATGTCATAGTACTTATAATGACTGGTCTTCAAACTAGTGTTGTCACGATACTAGAATTTCTAACTTCGATACGATACCTTGAAAAATATCGATATTCGATACCATTTTCGATACCACGGAGAAAAAGCTGCCACAATATTAAGGGGGTATTTTTTTTATTTAAAGCTAAATATAACAAGTCTAGAACATGACAATGAGGTATATTTTACACGAACAAAAATGTCCTGAGTTCTATTTGTTTATATTTTTTAATTGGACCAGAGCTAACATGATGTATTTTTATTACCTACTGTTATCAAAGATTAAAATATACTGCAACAAAAAAGCACTTAACAGTATCAAATTGGAGGATAGAGAGTCAGTAATGTATAATAATAAGATTAAACATTCAATTTTCAGTTAAAGGCATGTCATTATTGAATTCAGAGATAGCTGTTTAGTTTAATTAATATATGTGTAATCAAATTGATGATAATCGCTAATGAAGGAAAATTGCAGAAATAATAATTTTTGAATAAAGTTAAATAGGCACCAGTTAATTTACATTTGACCACAGTTACAATATTTACTTGTCTAAGATTCCTCAGTCAGATTATGTTAACTTTAAGAATTAAAACGAGACAACACAGACTCTTATCCAGTGCCGCTGCTAGCCATTTTGGTGCCCCAAGCATAATTCATTTATGATGCCCCCCCCCGCCCCCCCTAAAAAAAAAACATTTTCATTTAGGATTTTCATTTTGGGGGGCTAAGCCCCCAATGAGGGTATGATTTATAAAAAAAATAAAAAGCTAAAAAGTAACACTTTAGATTAGGGTCTAATGTTTACTATTAACTAGTTTCATTACCATGCAATGGCATGGTTTTATAATCACTGGGATCCCGAATTTGAGGCAGGTTAGTTAGGGGTGTTCGGGGGAAATTTTTGGATTTTTCTGAACTACAGATGTGCATTTTAAGATGTTGTGAAGGCAAAAATAATAATAATAATAATAATTCGATAACAACAGCTTTAAAACCATGTCAGTGTGCAGCTGATTATTTTTCTCTCCTCATCAGCATCACACTCTTTTTCTCTTTGTTTTTATCTTGCCCTGTCTCTTCCCCTCCTAAAGTTGGCTTTTTTTAATTTACTAAAGGTTACATTTTGTATTTTATTCTCAATATGTACACATTCATTATAAATCCTGTGCCTAACATGATGAAAACGGCTTTGTTCATGTTTCTTGTCCCCTCACAATGACAGTAGCCTAAACTATTACACTAGGCTACATGTTACAGGCCTATTTTCAGTTAAAAATGGCGAAATTAGACAAAACTATATTAGTTTGCCTAATTATTTTTTGTCATTCGTTTAACATTTATGACCTAAAAAAACCTGTCAAATAAAGTTAAGTTTAGCTACTTACATCTTATCTCGCACTTGACCGTACACTGAAGCGTCGAGTTGCACTGTTAAAATTCGCGCTCAGCGTCTGTGAACATAAAGCCTGCCTACTTTGATTTGATTGGTCATCTCAAATATTCTGACATTGACGAGCAGTGACAGACCAATGAGGCTCAGAAGAACACACACATGAACACACACACACACACACACACCCTGTCCTGTGTTTCTGACGTGCTCTCTGTCTCTGCTCGGCGCCGCTGCGGAATGAAGAGGAAGAACGCGCTGAATCTGATTATAACAAGAAGTTTGATGATTGGTTTTTCATTAGGCTATTTTTGGTGCCCCCTCAGCACTTGGTGCCCTACGCACAGCGCGTGATGCGCGTGGTGGGAGCGGCGGCGCTGCCTTATCAACAACAATACTAGGCCATCTTGGTTAATGTTTCAGAAAAGTTCAAATGAGAAGAGTTAGTGTTTCCTTGAGGACTTTTTTTTAGCAGTGGGGGCAGGTCTGTCCAAACAACAAACACCCCTGATGCTGAGCATATGCTGCTAAATAGTAGCCTACCCCTGGAGCCTGTTCCTTAAGTCTGTATACAGTCACCTATACAATAATTTTAAAAAATGAGTGATGTGAGGGATTATTGATAGTCAAACAATCTGTTGGGTGCCCGCAGCCCGCTCGCGTGTCCGCGCTATTCTCCGACATGCCCGCTCGCGTCCGCGCTATTCTCCGACATGCCCGCTCGCGGTGTGTAGCGCGTGTCCACGCTATTCTCCGACTCCGACATGCCCGCTCGCGGTGTGTTTTTTACGCGTGTCCGCGCTATTCTCCGACATGCCCGCTCGCGGTGTTCTTTATCAATCAACCAAAGCCGGTCGCGGGGGCGCCGCCCTCGCCATCTTTCCATTCACTTCACTTTTGCTATTTAACCAGAGCGAATGAGACGAGTGCGTCACGTGTGGTGTTTGTCAACGCGCCTGAGTATCGATAGGCTACTTCGGGAAATTAGTATTGGTACCGTTCAGATATTTCAGTATCGATATTTATCGAAATATCGATATTTTTGACAACACTACTTCAAACTGGGTTTCAGGTGCTAAAAAAATTGTGCAGGCGTGCATTCCAGAGAATCAAAAAGTACTGGATTCAGCTTTTTGGAATCAGAAATCATAAGTTGATTTGTTAATACACTAGCTAATACATTTTATTTGTATAATTCACATAAGAAATAATTGCCACTCTAGCTTGCTCACTTTGAGTGTTTTGTCTTTCCAGGTAAATACATTTTAATAATAATTCAATAGGAAGTTTATAATTAGGGTGGCATCAAAAAGTTTGAAAACCCCATATGCAATGTGTTGTCTAATCAAAGTATGAGTCTGCACATGAATCTTTAATCATGAAGCTCTTTGGCAACTTTGTCTCTTCGGACTTTCGCTGCTTTATAAAGATTTAATTGCTTTAACGTGCTGATCTGAACCATATTCCGCACCTGCTCCGCTGAGGAGCGTTATTCCGAGCACTCACTGCTATTGTTAGAGGGGTGATGTAATTCAATGTGGATTTGAAGCGGACGAGGACGGAAGAATGGAGAAAGACAGAGATGACTGTGGTCCTGCAGCGCCTATACTGACTGCTTTGTTTTGATCTACGAGGGCACGCGTGATGTATTTGTTTCATTGTTTGCATGTTATCTAGGAAAACCTGATATTTTTTCGATTAACGTACACCGGACCGCGACTGTAAACCCACAGAAGTCAGCAGCACCACCGACGCCCCCTCTCCAGCCTCACTGGTTGGCTCTCACTCCTCACCGCAGCTCGTGTTGAGTTGACCCCCTCTGGACTAGAGAGAGAGAGAGAGAGAGAGAGCGGCTTGTGATGACAGCTGAGAGATGAGCTCGGCCAGATGACCGTGTCAAACACCGACGGTCCCTAGCAAGCATTCTCTCCACCGTTGTGACAGAGCCACGTTTATTGCGGAGAAATGGACATTTGATCACTTCAGAGTTGCAGCGAATGGGCTGGATTGCGTAAGACCGCGCGGTGATTTCGGAGTTCGAGCTTCTACGAGCGACTCTTCAAACATGAATAACACGAAGAATCCGCGAGTAAGTGATGACGTTACCTGCTGTGCACTTACAGATTTGATTTCTCGTTCTGATCACGATGGAATATTTTGCTTGTACTGTCAGGGTTTGTTTTATAATTCGTCTTATGTCGAAAATATACCCCTAGTTTGATAATGCATCTGTGGGTGTTGTTATAATAATGCCCAGGTAGCGCTGCGCTATTGCGTGCAGGTGTGCGTGCAGCAGCAAGGTCAAATGCCCGCGCGCACTCAATAGCCTACTTGCTGCGTACATGATGATGCACGGAGGAGGCCTGCTCTTTTCAGCCGGTATTAGACTATATTTATTTTCGCTATGCTAATTTTTTTTTTTATAAATTTGCTCTATTCTTGTTTTAAAAAAGTTGATAAACTTTTAATCCAAATATTTGTTTAATTAAGATATTTATATCGGCCATAAAGAAGGGCTGTAAGTTTGTCAAAATGACAAGATGTGGCAACATGCATTGCCAAAACAGAATAATGTCAATAAAATATTGGAATAACATTCCTATTAAATGATTGCTGCACAGCTATGGTAGTAATTCATTTTTCTTGAAACAATGCTTCTACTGTACTGCAGTAACAGAACTTTATGGGAGAAGGGGATTATTTTCAGGAAAAAAATCAAAGTCAGGATGGGGCTTTGTGGGCCCATTGCTAAATTTTCTCTTGCTTTCTTTTCTTAGAGAGTTTGTAATGGAAACATTTAGTGTTGTAACCTACCATGCTAGGATATACTGGTTCTGGTTGAGACACTGTAAGTCTTCTTACACAAGCTCATGGCTGAGAGAGCATTAGTGGTTAAACCTCTAACCTCGAGTCTAGTTGACTTGCAGGCATTTATAAGGTCTGTTTACGTAAACAGCATTGCTGAATATTGATGTGTAAACAAATCGCTCTTTTGGACCTATTTTCATTGAGTTAGTTGAACTGATTCATAAGATCGATCTGACAATTCTTTCACAAATCAAGATTTCTTTCCGGAACCGGTCTGAGCTGTACTCGAGTCACCAAGACAAGTCTCTTTCAGATGTGTTTGATGTGTGATTTTTTTTATTTATTTGGAATTTAATAAGGATTTGACTGATGGGATGAAAAGGAAGTTTAATAGCAGAATTGTATTATTGTTTAATGTAAATGCAAATATATACAGTGGGGAGAACAAGTATTTGATACACTGCCGATTTTGCAGGTTTTCCCACTTTCAAAACAAGTAGAAGGTCTGTAATTTTTATCATAAGTACTCTTCAACTGTGAGTGACTGAATATAAAACAAAAATCCAGAAAATCACATTGTATGATTTTTAAGTAATTCATTTGCATTTTATTGCATGACATAAGTATTTGATCACCTACCAACCGGTACGAATTCCAGCTCTCACAGGCCTGTTAGTTTCTCTTTAAGAAGCCCTCCTGTTCTTCACTCATTACCTGTATTAACTGCACCTGTTTGAACCCGTTACCTGTATAAAAGACACCTGTCCACACACTCACTCAATCAAACAGACTCCAACCTCTCCACAATGGCCAAGACCAGAGAGCTATGTAAGGACATCAGATGAAATTGTAGACCTGCACAAGGCTGGGATGGGCTACAGGACAATAGGCAAGCAGCTTGGTGAGAAGGCAACAACAGTTGGGGCAATCATTAGAAAATGGAAGAAGTTCAAGTTGACGGTCAATCTCCCTCGGTCTGGGGCTCCATGCAAGATCTCACGTCGTGGGGCATCAATGATCATGAAGAAGGTGAGGGATCAGCCCAGAACTACACGGCAGGACCTAGTCAATGACCTGAAGAGAGCTGGGACCACAGTCTCAAAGAAAACCATTAGTAACACACTACGCCGTCAAGGATTAAAATCCTGCAGCGCACGCAAGGTCCCCCTGCTCAAGCCAACGCATGTCCAGGCCCGTCTGAAGATTGCCAATGACCATCTGGATGATCCAGAGGAGGAATGGGAGAAGGTCATGTGGTCTGATGAGACAAAAATAGAGCTTTTTGATCTAAACTCCACTCGCCGTGTTTGGAGGAAGAAGAAGGATGAGTACAACCCCAAGAACACCATCCCAACAGTGAAGCATGGAGGTGGAAACATCATTCTTTGGGGATGCTTTTCTGCAAAGGGGACAGAACGACTGCACCGTATTGAGGGGAGGATAGATGGGGCCATGTATTGCGAGATCTTGGCCAACAACCTCCTTCCCTCAGTAAGAGCATGGAAGATGGGTCGTGGCTGGGTCTTCTAGCATGACAACGACCCGAAACACACTGCCAGGGCAACTAAGGAGTGGCTCCGTAAGAAGCATCTCAAGGTCCTGGAGTGGCCTAACCAGTCTCCAGACCTGAACCCAATAGAAAATCTTTGGAGGGAGCTGAAAGTCCGTATTGTCCAGCGACAGCCCCGAAACCTGAAGGATCTGGAGAAGGTCTGTATGGAGGAGTGGGCCAAAATCCCTGCTGCAGTGTGTGCAAACCTGGTCAAGAACTACAGGAAACGTATGAACTCTGTAATTGCAAACAAAGGTTTCTGTACCAAATATTAAGGTCTGCTTTTCTGATCAAATACTTATGTCATGCAATAAAATGCAAATGAATTACTTAAAAATCATACAATGTGATTTTCTGGATTTTAGTTTTAGATTCCATCACTCACAGTTGAAGAGTACCTATGATAAAAATTACAGACTTCTACATGCTTTGTAAGTGGGAAAACCTGCTAAATCGGCAGTGTATCAAATTCTCCCCACTGTATATGTGAAGAGTTCAGATGCAAAAGCCTCTAAATGCCATCTGAAATTTTCTTCTAAAATGATCATTTTTATCAAGCTCGTATATTTAAGTTCAATAATTTCACTTAAATGGCAAGAAAAATTACCCATTTATTGTCATTTAAGTGAAATTACTGAATTTAAATATACGAGCTTGATAAAAATGATCATTTTAGAAGAAAATTTCAGATGGCATTTAGAGGCTTTTGCATCTGAACTCTTCATGTATATTTAGGCTCTAAATTACTTTTTTGAAACATTTTAGGTCATGTATATGTTACACTGGGTGTCAGGGAGCATGTGATGATGTAAAAGAACCACTGAATTGCTTTTTGAAACCGGTTCTTTGAAACGCACTGAACCAATTCCCGGAAATGAGTCCGACTTCCACCACTCACTTCAGTTGTGGATTGCTTATTGTGTTACATCTACAGTCCTGTTAAATAGTTCCCCTTTTATCTTGCATATGTCTCAAAATGACCCATGATCTCTGCCACACTATATAACTTAAATTCTTAATTAGCACTCCCTTATCAAACCATTCAGATTCTTCTTTCTGTTTTGTGTCCACTATTTTTCTCTTTTCATTGAGTCAATGTGTTGTGAGGGTTCAGTGTCAGGACCATGTTAAACCACTGGCGGTCTGATGCAGAAAAGGTCAGGTTTGAAGAGACGATTAGATGCAGAGACAGCTTGTTCTTTTCGCTTTGAAGATTTCTTGGATTGTTTTGAATCCTTTTGGTCGTGACTCTCGACGTGGTGTTTTCTCTCAGGAATTTAATCAATAAAGATCAATGTGGGAATGTTTGGCGGCCTGTCATGATGTACAGGATTCAGTTTAGGCCCGCTAGATGCTGCTGCTGCTGCTGCTGCTACTGCAGTTGAATCATTACCGTTTAGTCTGACTGCATTTAGAGAATCAATATTTGCTGGAGAGATGCTGTTCCTTCTTCCTGATTTTCTACAGAGATGGAGCTACAACATATGAGAATTGCAGCTTGAGAAATCACAGCTTCAGACTGTAGATTTCAGGTTAGTTTCCCTTTGATTTTGAGATAAAATTCCTATATATCTTCATATATTAAATTATTAAATTGAAGATGGTTGGGTATGTAACAGCCATAATTCTAATCGATTAAGCGTTTATTTCAAATAAGTGCCTCTTAGACCATCATTCTAAGACCATGTGTTTTGGGAGAGTTGCTCAGCACAGCTTGAGCCATTTACTGTCAAGCAGAACTGTATAGTTTAGTTTTGATAGTGCCGTTTATCTGCACGGACCATGAAAATAACAAGAGATGGACAGGAACAAAGATGAAGAGATGGACAAGAGGATTTCTTTTCACCGTTAGAGCAGAGGCTTGGCTTGTATGGCTGAGTGAAGCAGTGTTCTTACTGTTTTATGTGGCTGCCAGTCTGAGAGGTTGAAATGCTGGCCTGTTTATCACACTGGAGCACTGCTGAATTCTCTGGTTCACTCACACTCACATTGCCCATATGGAAGTGTGTGTTCACGAGTGCTTGCTCATGTGTTTGCTTGTGCACAGTGGAATCAGTTTGTTGCTGTAACAGTTTTAAGGTCTATACACATCAAAAGCTTAACAAAAAGAGTGAATCATCAAACCATAGAAAAAAGCAAAGTGATCTGCTATCGGTGATATGTAAAAAATATGTTTGCGTATCACCTAGGGTTTTACTATATTTGATTTTGTATGTGTTTATTTTTAAACAAACAAAGGATCCTTTCTATCATTGTAGCTGATTTAATTCAAAATATTTAATATAAGATTAGTAAAAAATGTTGATAAAAATAATCGAGGCATGGTTTTATTTTCAAATGACAATTTACTAAAACTTTTTATTTTATGAAAATGTCTGTGAACATTTTTTAATCTAATAATTACGGTGGCCCAGTAGTGCACAACACAACGGAATTTAAAAAGCAAACATAGGTTCACAACACAACGAAATTAAGCCATAACATAATGAAATGAATCCACAACACAACAGAAATGAGCCACAACACAACGGAAAATACAACACAACTGAAATAAGCCCCAACACAATGGAAATGCTCCCGACCACTAGATGGCTCTAGGAGCGCGATACAGTTAGTTTTCCTTACCATTGTTCTATAGAGTCGGCAGTCTTAAGATATCAATACCACAATTTTTTTTTACAGTATGTAACCATCTATACGACATAATATATTACTTCAAAATCACCTAT